GCACCACCCAGATTCAAGCACTTGCGAGTAGAGCACGGAAATCGTTGCCAGTGGGGTAAGTATTATTTGGGGTCCAGGAGTGCAAACTTTGTGCACACGGCTTTTGTGCCTTGGAGATTGAGGGCTTAGGACTTTCAGGCTTTTAGGGTTTGCGGTTTGAAGCTTGAGGAGTGTAGTGATTCTTTTCCGCTCTCTAAGGTTTGGGATTTTCAGGCGTCCGGCTTAACATTCCGGGTTCCGAGCAGGCGGGTTTTGGGTCTTTTGTGATTCAGGGCGTGTCGGGTTTATGCTTGGGGATTAGGGTTCCGGGTTTTTAGGGTTTAGGGTTTGCGAGGTTTAGGGCTTTAGGGTGCGGGGTTTGGATGTTTAAGATCTGTTTTGAAGGCAATCGTTCGCTGTACTTGCTCTCCGAGGACAGTAGTAGTAGTAGTAGCCATAGCAGTAGCAGCATCAGTAGCAGTAGCAGTAGTAGTAGTCGTCGTCGTAGTAGAGTAGCAGCGGCAGGAGTAGTAGTGGTAGTGGTAGTAGTGGTAGTAGTGGTAGTAGTGGTAGTAGTGGTAGTAGTGGTAGTAGTGGTAGTAGTAGTGGTAGTGGTGGTAGTGGCAGTACTAGTATGTCGTCAGTGGTCGTAGTAGAAAACGCTACTCCTCCCGTGTGACATTGAGATACCTCCCAGCCGGCTTTGCTTGCTGGCCCCGCTTGCCGGGTTGTACCACTTCTTTTGACTCCTGGTTCCATGTACCTCGAGAGCATCACGGGTGTGTGTTCCGGATCTTCCTTTCTCGTTATTCATCAGTTCTGGCTCGCCGAGCCGCCCTCCACCGTTCTCTTTCGTCCCTTCCCTGTTTGCAAGCCCTCCGTGAAAGGCCGCGTATGTGGCCGCGCATGCTTCTCACTGGAGTTTGCATCAGTGCAATTTCACAAGCTTGCCGAGCAGGATCAGCTAGTGTTGAGGACTTTCCTGTCGAGTGCTATGGCCTGCATACGAAGTTACCATCACTGTCTCAAAGTTTTCCAACTATTGGTCTTCGGCCGACATCGAACCAACCTGGGCTGCCCATCAAAAGTCGGCTAGGCAGACGGCGATGAACAGCTGCGGCCAAAGAGTCCACCGGTCATCGTGTCTGGAAGAACCTGGCAGGCATGTTCAGTCAGATTCCAACTCCAAAGTTTTTCAAGAAACACCATCCACAGCGCAACTGGCTGGCAGGCGCCCGCTGCAAACACTTCGCTCTGGGATGAGGTGGACGACATCGAACGACCGCCCCGGCACACTGCTGCGCGTCACAGGGCCCTGGACTTCCAGGCAGGAAGTGGATGGGGACCGCTCAAGTTTGCCAGTCTTGTGTGTGTGTGTCAGGCTGGAAGGGGCGTTGCCCATGCACTTCGCCACGATGTTCCGCTACCTCAGTCGGCGGTCAGGTGGGCCGTGTGGATCGGTCTGGCGCGTGAACCCATACTCAAGCCGTACGCATCCGCCTAAACCCTAAAACTTAGACCCGAAGCCCGAAACCTCAAACTGGCGGAGGCGGCAGAAGAGGCCGGTCTCTGCTCCTACAGGATCTCGGGGAGCCCAGGCGAAAGGGTCCGTGTTAAACTTCAGAGGATTGGCTTCTTTGAGGCTTCAGCATTGGGCATTTTAGAGTCTCAGCTATAGGGTTTAGGGTTTAGAGTTTGGGGTCGAACCAGATGATACGGTGGATGGCTAACGTGGACTGGTAAGAGTACACCATTGACAACATCAATAATAGCTGTTTCAGAGACAATGGCAATCATGTCAATGTTGAGAAAAGGAATGTGATGACAATAAGAGTCAAAGGTCAACAAATAGCAACATTGAGGAGATGCGACGCAGTATTTTCTAGCATGATGCCGATCATTTCAACAGTGATATTGGCTATGCAACAGTTTCAAGTGAACATCGCGAGACTTGTGATCATGGTAGTGGTGGTAGCAGAAATCTTAAGACGAGAGATAACATCGGCTTCAAGGCCATTGAGCCCTCGGAAACGTCAAGTTTAGGAAACATCACCGTCCAACCTTCGTGAAGCAGCACACGCGGACGCAGACCACGTAGGAACGGACCGGCATGTTTTCAACGACCAGGTCGCATTCGATGCTGCAGTTGTCTTCCGCTGAATGTAACGATAGGGACAACTTGGATGCCGAGCGGGATCCGGAGCCGAGCAAAGGTTACGATGACCTGAACCCAACTACCAACCGATACCATGATCGGCAGCCAGTCGGCATGATGACACGAGAGGGACCAAGACATCGACGTCGGGAAGGTCGATGGAACACAGCCTTGAAAGAAGACCATGGCCCCTTGTCCACTTTCCCGGCCGAAAGTGCGATCGACCCAGCACTGCCACCCTCGGAGCAGACTTAAGGATGCACAGCACGAAGAGCTCACAGCAGTCGACGACATGAAGGATATCTCCGCTTCTAAGCTGAGCCCAAGCAACCCTCCCCTGGCACAAGTACAGGGACCTTAGAGCCTTCCTTGCGTGAGGCCGCAGGCGCATCAAGCATGCGGAGCCGGGTGACGAACGAGGCCACGCGTGCAGCCAGCCAGCCTGATCTTATTTCAGATATTAGTAGTGACCCCAGGCCAAGAGCATTAATCGATCGGGCGTCCGTACAGAGTTTATCTGCATTTCCGATTTGGCTAATTATGCCGAGTTGGGTTGAATGCTGATGTTGCCTCGCAGGGCGTGGGAAACGGTACCTTTTGTTCGTCTAGGTACTTCTATATAGTTTTAGGGTTTGGCCCCCGGTTTGCTTCACTTTGCATAGGACTTCTACGGTTGCTACAATCGATTCGAAGGTTCGGGAAATAGAAAAACCGAGACCCGGAACTGCGCGTTTTTTTTCCGACAAGCCCGCGTGGCCCAGCATGTGCCTGTGAAAGCGTATAGCGAACTTCATCATGGTTTGGGCACGGGCGGCATGGATGCTCCGGCAAACGGAAATGGGCTGTCTTATGTTGCTGGCATGGATGCTGTGGCAAACCGACCTGAGTGGGGCGAAAACGGGCGGGGGAGGGGGAAGGGGGTGGACCCTACTTTGAATGTGGGATGTGCCTGTAGCTTCGTGAACGGCTGTTGCAGAGCTGTTGCTACAGACGGGTGCCATCGGATTCTGTTGGTTCACTGCCGCCTTTGAGAGTTGTACTTGCATGGCGGATTTTGATCTGTGCCGTGAGTCTGGAGTCTAGGCTTCCCTGAACTCTGGAGCGCGCAGCACTTATTCTTTGGGTAAGGGCATGTCATATCGAGTCCGCTGATCGATTTCGTGTGAGTGTGTGGCGCACTGTTTTTTCGGGCAGAAGGGCAGGTTTCCTGCTCCGGACATTCTGTTCATTCCTTGAACATGTTGGACCCTGTAGCACACAACATGGGCTTCCGGGTCACGCAGGAGTAATTGATGTTGCTGCTGAGGCCTTGCTCTTTCCATGAACGTTTGATTCATGTGCCTGACCTGACTCTGGTCTTTGTCTGTCAGGCTTCATGGCTTTTGGGGGTGTTCGGCTGTTTCGCAAGCCGAGACTTTGGACAGGTTCGATCGCTTCTGCCGCGTTACACGTGCCTGCCGCCTCAACTCCACTATCTGTGGCCAGTTGGTCTCCGGGTCTTTGTGGGCCCTTTCGCACTTCAGACCCTGCGAGTGGAATAGGGCTCGCATCAAGGCTCGGTGCTTGGATTTTGGTGGGACATGGTCAGTCGCGGGCTTCGAAAGCTGATGTGCGAGCGAATAGGTGTCGGGTGGTTTCGGGTAGCCGAATGGGCAGGCGAGGTTCATGATTTTTTGAAGCTTCCTGCATGGATGAGAAGACGTGGCATTCTGAATGCTGATGTCGCGTAGTGTAATTCGCTGAATCAGTGTTTGCAGTGGGGTGAGCATACATTTCCATGACCTGATGCGCGATGATGTGTGAATCCGCCTCCAAGTGCCGTAGCAAAGGCGGAAAGGCTGGCGAACATTTACATGAGTGGGAAGACTTCTGCTTGAGACTGGTGAGCAAGCAGTTAAAGCCATCAGCCTGTTGGGCGGAAGAAAGATACAGCAACGCTCTGCACTGAATTCGCATCCACCGAAAAGTGCGTACTGTTAGTTGCAAGATGCTTCTGCGATATACACAGTGGCACCAGAGAGAGTCCCAGCAGACAGCATCTTGGATACGTTGCCGAACACCCGTGAAGCTGGGATTCATTCCGGGAGTTCTCTGGTGCAGAGTGCTGAGCTGGTAGGAGTGGAGCGACCTGGTACCGCGACCTGCGTGGCAGGGATATGATGCCCGGCTGATCTAGTTTTGTCAAGATTGTAAGGTTGCTTCGGGATGCAGGGTGCGCAGGGCAAGGTGACGAGGTGTGAGTGGACTCGACTGCACGACGTCGCCTGGGTTTTCTTCCCTTCGCGTGTCATTCCGTGAATGCCTAACTCCATGAGTGTAGTGCAGTGCTGGCAGTTAAGGGGCGGATTCTCCAAGTTGGTGGTGGGCAATGCCGGCACGCTTCTGCCAGGGACGATCGTGTTTTGTGAAGCATTCCCCTGATTCGGCCAGGTTACGGCGCACCTGCTACTGTGGCTTCCACTGCTGAGCAGCAAAGCTCTGCGTTGCAGTAGGTTTCCCGAAGTCGCGAGACAAGTCCGCAGAAAGTATTTCGGATCTCAGGCGGCCTGCAGGGGTCATGTTGCCTCTCTAAGCTCTCAGTCGGCAGATGTTCTGATCTGTTTGGCTTACCGAGGCTTCACGGGAGCACCCTTAGTCATCACAAGTCTGTTCCAGCAGATTCCTGGAGAAGTTCGTTTAGAACCGCGGGCCGCAACGCACACACGCATCCCAGCCTCTGAGAAGGTGTTCCATGCAGGGGTAGCACCGAAGAACAGTCTTTTACACTTCCTCGGCTTTGGCTGCTGCCTTCAGGAAGGCCGGAAACTCGGAAACCTTCTTGAGAGGCTTTGCAGAAACCTCCTTGGCACCAGATCCGCGGTAAGGCATGTCCTATTCTAACAAGATTTCCGCTGCAGCGCAGTTGGTGCCGGTCTCGGGGGATTTGAAGGCCCTCAGACCTGGAGCTTATCCCTCCGCGAGGTTCACGAGGATGAGTTTCGACGGATGCTGGAGCCTGGACGAAAGAAGCACGACAAGCTGATCGGCAGGTGCTTGCTACGGTCCATCCGACCGGAGTGTCTGTGTGTGTGTGTGTATCATGTTTGTCTCTACGCAACGAGCAGGTTGCCAAAAGGACAAGAATCGCCTTTTGGCGACTTTCCGCCAGACTATACGCGACCTGGGGATGACACAAAGAGGTGCACCCGTCGGACTGGGCACTGGCCAGTAGCGCCTTTCAAAGCCCTGCCAGGTCCCTGAACCTCCAACTCTCGGGCACAGCAACTCTGACACCGCGGAAATCAGCGGATCAGGCAAAAAAGCTGCATCGAGCGCAGGAGGCTGACAGCAATCTCTGACATGTCAGAGCTTTGCAGGCACTGCCCTCAGCTCGCAGTTCGCTCCCGTCGGCGCGCAGTACTGACGGCAAGACGCCGCGTACGGCTCGCGAGATAGAGAGGCGCCCGGGTCCGGCAGTCCAAAGCAGTCCAAAGCTGGTCCCTTGGGGTGTTAAGTGAAGTGTGTCAGGATGACGCCCAGGATGACGCCCCGCGACGGTGCCTTCTCCAACACAGCGCCAAAGACCTTGCGAAGGCGAGCTCCCTTTGTCCGAAGCTCTGGCTCTGCCACTGGATCGCCCGGCACGTGCAGTTTGGGCCCTCCGGCGGCGGGAGCTTTTCAGAAGTGCAGAACTGAGCATACCGGTGTAGTGGGCTGTTCGCGTGTCGTGCGTCGCTCTCTCAGCGAGCCCAAGGCGACCCATCGAGCCCTCAGAGTTCAGGAGATTCTACGACAGAAATGATTTGCCCATTCAGGCCTGGTGCCGGGATTTTTAGGCATCGAGCCAATTCCAGAGAATGTTTTCGACCAGATCATGCACACGGGCACCCAGAACAGGATTGCGTGGAAGGCCGGACATATACGCCTTTCGTTCTTGTCGAGAACTATTTCAGAGTGTGTTAGGTTGATGTGGAAAAGCTAGACTACCACCACTACCTTCCCATTTTCTTCGATGGGTTCGGAGCCCAAGAAGTCCCTGGGCAGCACTGCGCGGGCAGTCAAAGGCAGATCGAGCACAGGTTGCGCGAAAGGGAGGAGCCGTACCGCTTCTTCGCAGTCGAGGGTGTCTACAATCTTCTGGAAAAGGTCGGGCTGAGCGCAGCAACATGTGAGGACAAATGCTCGTCATTATGCCTGTATCGGCATCACTGGAAGGGCGGTTCCAAGATCCTTCCGGTCGTGCCGCAGCTCATTATTCCCATCAAGAAGGAGCGGCTGTCGGGGATGGGTCTGCCGGTGCTCTCAATTGCATCAGAACCCCTTGCAGGCACTGAACACGCCGGGCTGGCTGACTTCCTGCTGGATTGCTGCGCTTTTCTGGTCCCTTTGATCATGTGTATTGCCAGGCGGGACACGGAGGTGATGGTCACGACCATGAAGGCGGGACGGCAGGACCCACCATTTTTTTTGCGATGTTGATTTGACTTCAGGGTGCTTAAACCAAAGTTGCCGGATGAGGTCCTGCAGACGTTGGTCCTGTCCGGAGAGATGGTGGGAGAGGCCTGCATGTGGCCAAAGCTGCCCACCAAAATTGCTAGCTCTCAGCACGCGAAGTACCGTGCCAAGATGGGTACCAAGCCCGGGTTTGAGCTGCCTTGGGTTTTCATTCTTGTAGTCAGTGTGGATCTCATCTGGTCTCGAAGCCGGAGAAGCAGGCTCTTGTCCCCTACTACCGCCAGATCTTGCCCGCCAGCAGCTTACGATGAGGGCCTCAGTATCGAAACAAGCAGGTGTGCTAGGTGAGCCGAGAGGAAAGCAAGATCTCCATGGCCCTTTCCACATGGGGATGTGCCTCAATACTTAGCAGTCACTGGATCAACCCTAAACAGCCCTAAACGCTGCACCCGTAAACCAGTCTAGAACGTACGTGAATGGCCAGGAAGCGGCAGACAACCTCAATGTTGCTGAGGGCTTGAGTTGTAGCCGTGACTGTTTTTCGGAGGCGTTGGGTACCTGTTGTGATTCTTGAATGTCTTGGTCATGTTTTTGTTCTTGGACGAGCTCTTTGGTACCCACGTGGTCTTTGGATTGTAGCTGTCGATCTTGATACCTCGATGTGCTGCTTGCACGAGCAGCACTGGGCTGTCCAGAGGTGCTCAATATCTTCAAGTCAGCCACGAAGAGCACCTTCGACCAGATGGCCGGGGCCCTTTCCTTGCTCCATCTCCCTTGGGTTTGGGGGCTCCTGGCAGCAGGATTATGCCCAGCGCAAGCGCATGGACATTGGGGCCCTCATCGACGAGACCCTGGAGAGCTCTCGAGTTTCGCGTTCCGCGCGAGCTTTCCGTGCGCCTTCCGGCTTTTTCCGGTGATTTCAACGGCAGGAGATCCTGGAAACTCACGGGGGCGAAGATGCCTTCATCAACATCAAGTGCCCCACAGGAAACAGTGTGCGGCCTTCCCACCCACGTCCTGCAACCTTCAGGTACATGATACCCACCTATGAGTCGTGCGTATCTGTTTGAGAGCAGCAGAGTCGAACTGGCTTCGAATTGGGCAGTACGTGACAGACCTACTTTCCGCCAAGAACCAGTTGGATCCTGCAAGGCAGTGTCCCTGCGGTTTTGCGGAATCAGGGGCATGTAGATCGACAGATGTCACCAAAAGGTGGACTCTTTCCAGTTGCCGCTTTGCCAAGTCTCAACAGTGCTGCCGCTGTGCCAGAGAGTGATGAGTCGTAGTCCTTGCCCGCTTGGGGTCATGTCATGCAGTGCTGTGTGATTCTCTGGGCTGTGAATATCGCAGAGCCAGTGAGTGCTTTTACAGACACCGCAATTGCGAAGAGGCCATCCTCTAGCAGCGAAATCAGTTTTTGACCTGCATCACTGATGTGTATGTTGCTCTCGTCAAGATTCGGTGTCTCTCAGGTGTGGATCTTTTACTTTCACCCTGATGCTCCCAGCCAGCTGTGTTGCTGAGAGCCGGTTTACGCCCTCGAATTGGCTCTACCGGAGCAAAACTTGAAACCTGTACTACTACGCTAAGATTCCAACACACCGGTTGCATGAGCCTGGTCTTGAGTGGCAGTGGATTCTGTTCTCCATGGTGCTGTCTGGCTCGAAAGCCTAGATTTCAGCCACCATGCCTGAACTGAAAAGCCCGTGTTTAGCAGTCTTAAAATCTCAAAGTCTTGTCAGAGCCTGAACTTTGACCCTCCCAATTTCAGCAGCGGCGCGGGTGGATGTGGGCCTCAGGAACTGGCGATGGCCGCTCGGTCTTGACTTCGAAGTTTCGCCTCGATGTGACTTGAGCGTGCCGTTTTTTCTAGAAGGCTCTGATGTGACATGTGCTCTACACTTATGCGCATGCGCAGCGCCCCTTGTTTGCCAGGGCCTGGGTCTCCATGACCAACTCCAGTCTGCGGATCACCCCGTGGGATTTCGGGCCAGGCGCCTCCTCAGGCCGCCTGTGAGAAAAAACGTGAGTGGCAATGTGACGTTGAGGTGGGCAGCCGCGCCCACGTCGACGTCCTTCTTTATCGACTGCCGCCTCTACCGGCCGACCCAGGAGGAGGTCTGTTGCCGTGCCTTCACGCGTTCGCCCTTGCGATGAGATGATCTGAGCTGCAGGCCGAATATGCGCGCCGGTCGCTCGGCAGGGGCCCCCAACTGTTGGATCTGGAAGTGGGTGTACAAGCTGCGCAGGGCCGGCGTCTGTGACGGGTGGTTGCGCAGCGGGTAGTAACGGTGACTGGGGGAGCATGAGGCAACGCGGGAGAGATATGGAGAACACAAGGAGGACTCAAGAAGTTCAAGAAATTGCTTTATGACTATATGATACCATATGACTATACATGGATAGTAGCTGACATCCCTGGCCCGCCAAACAGGCAAGCCCAGCTCCTCGTAACCGGTGCTCTGCGAGGCGAGAACGACGTTGAAGAAGTGCCATCTGAACCGCCGCCGGAGCCGAAGGCTGGCGAGGGACGGCCCAAGCACCTGCGCGTGCGCGGGTAACGTCGGCAGGCGATAAAGCCCAAGCCAAAGGGCCTGCTGCAAAAGGGGCTTGCCACCGCCTCGGCTGCGGAGCTGCGATGGGGACGGGAACCGGTTTCGCTCGCATGCGCTGGCCAAGATGTTCCGAGGCGATGGCCAAAGACTATGCCCTGCAGGCTTCTCGATTCTGCGATTTGTCTGCTCTGCGGGGAGGGGCCGTCCAATGCTGCTAGGCGGCTGGCGAATACTTCAGCCGGCACCCCAGTGCGTGAACTGAAGCTCTCCAGAGCCGGCTGCGTGGCGCCGTTTTTTTCGAGGCAGTGCCGGTGGGAAAGGGGACCCCGAAGTCGAAAGGCGCGCCGCGGAGCAGCGAGCCAGGCCGGCCCAGGCCGCAGGGCTTCCTTTCTCAGGCAGTGCCACGAGCTCTATGGCCTCTTCCAGAGGAAGAACGTCATGGCCGATGCCTCGATTCCGTCAGATTCCATCAGAATCGAGCGTGCCGAAGATTCTGCATCCAGGAAGCGCACACAGACCAAACGCTGAAAAGGAGCAGAGGAGGCGTCTGCAGATACTCGCGAGTATGAGGATCCTGGTCAGCACGCCGCATCCATGTCTTGAGGGAAGTCCAAGCCGCTCGCCAATCTCGAGGGTGACAAGGCCAGGCTCGGGGCTCGGGGTTCTGATGGAAGGGCTTCTGAATCCTTGAAGGCTCCAGGTGGCCTTTTCATCCAGCACACGGCCTCCCACCAGTGGCCCCTTTCCCAGATGGCGAACGCCAGGTCTGTTCGTCCTCGCCCTCCTCCGTGCCTCAAAGGTACCACTGCTTCATTTTGGGGAAGAAGGAGGACGCGCAGCTGCAGCCGTGGCCCCGGTTCCTGCCTCCGACGTGCTGGGCTTTTTGAGCCGAGCTCCTTGCGCAGGTGTGTGGCGATGGAGCCCGATTGGATCTTCCAGAAAACTAATCGCAAGTTTTGCGGCTTGCAATCGTGCTCCACTCAACGCCTCAAGAGCCGGGCCTCCTTCCCATTGCCAGTTGCCAGTGTTGGTTTTGCCGCCCTGCAAGAAGGAGGCATGTCACAGAGGTCTAATGCAGTAGTGGCCCCCGTGGCCGTGGTCAAGGTGCGACTACGATCGTCTCACCTTTAAGACCGAGTGCCTCGACAGGCCCTCGGAATAGGACTTCTGTGCTCTCTGCGCAGTATCGCAGTTGGTTTTCACAGCGTGAGTTGCGTGCTTCATACTACGAAGTGTGCAGAAAGGCTAACGGTCAGATGTTGATGGGGTTTGAGAGCTTTGAAGCTTGGAGCGGGAATGCACTCATGAGGTCCTAGTGGTGTACAAAGTTGTTGGCCATTTGCGGTGCTGCGATCGCATCGTTGGCAGGGTGGTCGGTTGGATCCCGCGGTCGCAATGTGTGTACGTTGGCCACCATGGGCAGGTGCATCCCAAGGCCTGCCGACCGTTTCAGAGCAGGAGGCTCATCGAAAGACGCTTGTGTTTGTTCAGGACATGATGGGAACCCCTGTCCCGTATTCGGCTGGAAGCCCAGCTGCGAAGACATGCCGAGCACTAATTTGTCGGGGTGGAACTTGTGCCGATTCGCCAATGTCCCCGTGACAATCTCCATGTTGCAAAGGTGAATCGGCTCTGCATGTGAGTTGCTTGCTGCAGCCTCTTAGTGCAGGTCTACATCATGGGATGTCCACCAATACCTCCTACACCTCCTCTGCGGAGATGGCGAACAAGTCAACATCTCAGAGAGGGTACGGACACAAGCTTGTCCAAGGAACGATTTATCAAAGCAACTCCCTGACGTTTCTGTATAGTTGTCCATCATGGTCCCGGCGCCAAAACGAAGTCAGTCGCGTTTCGATGATACCTTTTGAGGCCTGAATCAGTGGACAGACTTCTTGCTACTTACTGGGTGTGAAACTCAGCTTCCGAGGAAGTGCTTGTCGTAGTAGCTCGTCGACTCGTGAAGCTCTAAGGTAAGACATCCTCCGTCCGCCTGGAACATCACGTACTTCGCGAGCAGACCTCGCTGAGCTGTGGGCAATCTACAACGACTCCGCCGAAATGCTTCCCGATCCGATCTGCCAGCTGCCGTATGTACACCGATTGACAAGCAAGCCAGTCCTCGTGAAGGTGGTCTTGCGGCCAGCGTTCCGCGAGGAGACACGAGATGCCAGGAAACTACGGGCCGAGTGAAGAGACTGCAAAAAAAGCCTTGCGCTTCACGAAAGAAGGTTCGCTTTTGCCTTTTCGCTTGTTTCTCTTTTCCTCTGTTTCGTGAAGCCACCTTGGAAGGCCCTGAACAACTAAAGCTCTGGCCCACAGCTGCGACAGCGTAGCTGTTTATCTTTGTCCCTGATTCGGCCTCAGCAGCTCCATGGCGCTCGCTGCGGCCACAGCCGTTCGACGGATCTCCGGCTCCTGGGCCGGCGAAGCGTGGGAGGGGAAAAACCAAGTTGAACAGAAGTTCCGCCTGGAAGCGCCGCTTTTTGCAAGACTTGCCTTCGACTTCAAACATGATCCGTCCCAGCCCAGAAGCGGCGCTTCCAGCTGGGCGGACTTTCGAGATGCGGACGGACCAGTCGCCCTCCTCCAAGAAACCCAGGACATTGGCCCTCCCTTACTTTGACATTCTGGAGCAATTTGGCCCAGCCAGGCTGACACGATCACAATGATCACCACTACCACCCCCTATCGCATGGTCCCGCACTGCAACCGATCAGGTGCGAAATCCGCGACTACATGCCCGCCTTGTCGCTCCCGCCAGCCTTTCGCCCTTCCGCCGCCAGCTCTGATGACGCTCTCCAAGGAGGACCGGTCCGACCACATCAGCAGGAGAGCTCGGTCACGGCATGGGCAGTCGCCAACGTGATGTCTCGCTATGGGGCAACGCCAGGGCCTGCACCAAAACTGTTCCATCGTTCGAAACTGCACCACTGCTGACAGTGGCGCAGAAAGTGGCGGAAGTGGTGTTGGATGCATTGGCTGCTGCGGCGGCCCAGGCGATCGAGGCGCCAGCTCATGAGACAACCTTCCGCCATTTACACGGAGGGCGACCTCCAGAAAAGACCAGACATGCCTCATGGTTCGACCAGTCTTTGGTGATGCCAGGCGCGGAGGAACCCAAAGCGGAGGTACCCTTCCGGCAGCTGCCGTCCATTGCCACCTGGCTCTCTGCTACCACGCTACGGAACAAGCGAGGCGAGAAGGCTGATAACGAGACGCTCTGCCCCTCGGTGCCGTGCTTGGACGCTTGGCTGCAGCGGAGGCCACCATCTTGAAGATCTTCGGAGAGAGCAACCTCCAGGACGGATGCGATTCCTGAGAGTTCCATGAGTTTCTGGGCGACACTTCGCCGGGACGAGATGTGCTGCGTCGCTCGCCGGGGCTTTGTGCCACTTTGTCTCACCTTGCAGGTCCTGTACTCCTGCGACGGGTGCCATGCCCTGCTCGACGAAAGTTTCTGGGCGACGCTGCGATGGGCGCTCCCCGAGATGTTTGTGTCATTTGTGTCGCCTCGCAAGTCCCTCGCATGTTGTGTGGGGAAGCGTGTCAGGAGCTGCACCGACAGGCAATTTGTTGATGGCATTCGGCAAAAAACATCCTTAGACGCGTGCCATCTTGTATAAGATAGTAAAGAAGCTCGCAAACAGTCGCCATGTTTATGCCCTCATCCGGATTGTGGTGAAGCTTGCCTTTGGCTTTCCGCAGCAATTTTTCTGCTTGCTCAAGGCCTCGCCGAAAGGCGGCCTGATTATTTAATTGCCGTGTCGGAGGGTTGCTGTCTGAATGTGCAACTAGCCAGCATGTCATCTTGAAGGTGTGATGTTGGTACCCCATGCTACTTGTTGGTCACAGCTACCAGTCCTTTCAAGCAAAGCCAGCGGGCGAAGGTTCTAGACTGCTAGACTGCTCTTAGAGTATCTTAGATTCGTAGACTCGAAGACAGGGAGGCATCCGCCATTTAGGCCTTTGGCCGGCCTCTCGACTGCAGCTTGAGGGGTGCGTGGTCTATCTCTCTCTTCGCCCGGAGAAACGACAGCCTGCAGAGGTTTCAAAATCGGCAATGAGCACCCTCTTGCCAGCCAAGCGCCCAGAGCTTTCGATCGTCCGGGCTTTGCAGTGTTGCAGCGCGAAGGATTCTTTTCATGTGGGATCTGTAGGCCGGGCGCTCAGGACTTTGCTGGACAATTTTTCATTCGCTGCAGATGTTGTGTGCTTCGTGCCAGGTGCACAGGCAGATTCAACGAGGCCCACACTACCAGCTCATTCGTTTGGTGCGGGGCCGGGACTTGTCTGTCTCGCGAGATGGGTTGGGGGGCACACCTGCATGGCTGGCTCAGGAACTTGCGATCGTGAAAGCGCTCGAATGAAAGTCTACATGTCTAGAAAACTGGAGAAGTCCAAGGTGCGGCGCTCTTGCTCCCCGAAGCCTCGAAGCCGTTTAAGCCGACCGCAATGCCTCCCGGAGGCCAAGCTCAATTCCCCGGGTCCAGTCTACGACGTCCCCTCGGCAGTGTTGGACTTGGCCCGTCTTGGAACTATTTGAGAGTTTCCGAAAATTAGGGACCCTAATATAGTACCCTAAATAGTAGGACCCTTACTATGAGGATCCCAAAGTAAAGTACCCTTATTTTCGGAAACTCCCATTTGGAACTCGGACGAAGACTCCCCACACTGGTCTGAGTCTTCGACTTTGAAGGTGGGAGCAGCCCCAAGCTTCTCCTTCGGAACGGACGTGCAGCGGTGCGCCGCACGCGTTTTTAAAGCGAGCTTCTGCTTCGAGCCTTAGAGGGGCCCCTTGGTTGCTCTCTGACAGGAAGCACGATCCCAAAAAGTATCCTGACTCGACCGTGGACCTGACATGCCGGGGACCTCTGCCGTGCTCCGGTGCGTGGGTATGCGTTGTGGTGCCAGCTCAGGTGCCACAGTCGACACGCAGAAAGTGAAGTATGCCAAGACTCCGGGCTGCCACTTCGGCACTGAGCTAGGGCCTCGAGCTCACGATTCAGTTCCGGCCCCCCTGTCCTGTGGAACCTACACCGCGCCTTTTCCTGTGCACGGCATATGCATATCATCAGTAGAGACCACGGTGCTCTTGCTGAGTGGGTTGCGTCCAGGCAGAAGCTCAGCCTCAAGAATGCGGAGATCATCCGCACTCATGCGGGATTGGCTCTGGGAACTGTCCTCAGTTTCTGGTTTAGGGGTTGCGGGAAAGTGTGCTCTGCCGTGCCTGGTTGTATTTCCAAGGCTATCTCACTGTTTCGTCCGATTCCATACATAGACATGGGGCATGTGAGTTGTTGAGCAGATATCAGTGGACGGAGCATGCAGGGTTTCGATTACACAACTTTGATTTCCGCTCAAGCTTGTGCCGTGAGTTCGCGGCTCCCCACTCAGTGTCGAGAGGTAGAGTTGCTCGTGTGAGGTGTTTGATCAAGTGTCTGGCGTGTGCTTGAGCAGTTCGGGCATCATCTCTTATTTGCCGCGTATGTGCCTCATCATCATCAGCAGCCCGACAGCTGCAAGTCGACTCACGTATCTAGTCCAAAAACCAAGGTCGGAAAAGTCAAGGGTCCGATTCCGTCCCCGAAGCATCCAACAAGATCTGAGATTCGACCCGAAGCATCCCGAAGCCTGCAGCTGCTTCTGCGCCTTGGCCACTTCAGCCAGGCGCAGAGTCCCCGAGTGCCCTGGAATATCACGTCAAGGAGGTGGCCAAGCGCGTGCCCGTGCCCTGGTGCGGTCGGGACATGCTGGGAACTAGGGTGACTGGGAAGGATCTCATGAGACTGTGCCTACGAGGCCTGCCTACTCCTTTGGGCCCACAGAGTCCATGACGCCACGGAAGCCGGAGCCCAGGCAGGGCAAACTTCTTTAATTTGAGAAAGCTCAACTTCGAAGCCCCGCAAGCTTGGGCCTGACTTCGGATTTCAGGGTTTCGGAAGCCATGTAACGAGCTGCTGCGTATTTCAGCAGTCGTCAGGGCACCGCGATGTCAAGGTTGCGGCTGCCCATGAGAAAGTCAAACTACCCAAGCAACTGCCCGTATCGTCTCCGACGAGACCTGGTTCCCTTGCGACCCTCAATCTCATCCAATTTCTGACTTTCACTCTGGATGCCGCCCGCAGGGTGCAGCTCTTGCAGTCGAGCACACCGGCACGGGTTGGCCCCGGCAGCATGCTTAGAAAGCTTCAGAGGGGTTTCTTGCGTGACGGGAGGGTCGCAACCTGGCTTATGCCTCAAAGCCAGGGGGAGCCCCAAAAACCAAACCCGCCAAACCATCGTCATCGTTTCCGAGGCTCCCACCCGACGCCATCAAGCCTTGGCCAGCAGCCGATGTCTCCACGCCCCACCGCGCCGGCCCGGATGGACGGGGAACGGTGATTTCAGTTTGTGCCAGAAAGGGCGTCTGGCGATGTTTGTGGCTTAGGGTCCGGAACAATGGTTGACGGAAAGAGGAATTGAGGGTTCTTATCGCATCGCCTCGTCTACCCAATCCGGTGACGAGGAAAGTTCATTACAGGGTTGGCGGGCCTGGATATAGTATATAGGGTGAAGGGGTTGCTGTAGGGAAGCATGTTTGTTCTCAAGGCCTTTCCGGTGCGAGTGACCTGCAGGCCTGGACGATGCCCGGCCGCAGTCCCCGCGAGAAGACGCCGGGATCCCAAGATTTTCCGTGAAGTTGTGGAGGCAACTGAGGGTTAGCGCCTCCAGGCAGACGGAGGCTCTTGCGATCGAGGACAAAGTCTTCAGCTCCATCGGGAAGCAGGCGATCTCTCTTCGAGCTCGGATTGCAACTATGGCAGTTGGGAAGTTGACATGTAAGGTGCTGTCCACAATCCGATCTCCTCCCTCTGTGGCCACGACGAAGTCCACCCGCGACCAAGTCAACAGGAGCTGCACACCAGGATATGGCATGTCGCGTGACTGGCATTGTTGTTGCCCCAGGACTGCCCTCTTTGTCTCCGAGATGGACAAGACAGACACTGCACGAGGACCGAAGCCTCACTTCAATCTGGAGCTCCCGGCCGTTGGCTCAGAACCTTAACCGCCTTAGCCCAATGGGACAAGCATCGCAGTTGCCGTGTCTGCTTTCTTCAACGAATCTTAAACTATGTTGGTCCAGATACAGTAGTGCTCGTCGCTCCCTTCCTAAAAGACGGAAGTGCTTCCTCTCATGCTGAGGCCATCAAACGGGGCGGCGGGATTGGCATGTAGACGATCTACCAATGTTCTGACCGCTGTTCGCGATCATTCTTGTCGCTACAACCAACCTGATTAACCCTCGATGTATGTAAGTATGTATTTATGTATGTATCTATGTATCTATGTATGTAAACACTGTATGGATGTATGAATGACTGAATGAATGAATTAATGAGTATACTTAAGCAAGTAGACATGTGCCTGTGTGTCATGGTATCTGTTCCAATAAGTGGCTTCGTGATCTGTCGCACAACACGTGCACAAATCCCAAGCGTTTCACCTGATAGCGGCAGGGCCCGTCATGAATGACCGTCCCCTGCTCGATAGGACCAGTTAAGGGGCAGCACGCCAGCAGCATCCCAGTCCAAGAAACGTTGCCTGTCCGGTTGCAGCTGTTGCCCCAGATCTCTAGCAGTTTCCGTCGGAAGTGGCTCGCATGCATAGCATGGATGACACCAAGCGATCTTAAAGCACGGGCTGCGCTCTCGGAAGTTTGGGAGACGAAACTGGCCCTGGCGAAAAAGAATGGGCAGATTCAGTTCTGAAAAGCGTGGAGACTTGTGGTGGCGTTGCATCAGGCCCGGCCCATCCCGGCTCTAAGCTTGAGCCGGCTTTGAGGCCTCAAGTGCGGCGCATGCTAAACCTTGTTTTTAGGTGTTGGCAACATCTTGCAATGCGACTTCATCTGTGAAGCTACTCAGGGAGACGTCCAGAGTCCAAACATAATTCTGATCGTTGATCTTTGAGCCATGGGGCCCGCGGGAGAGTTTCGTAAGTGCCATGCTGAAGCACCTGGCAGCTCATGGGCTCTGCAGCGAGTGTCGAGGGCGCTGAGAGCGCCGACGGTGACGCGGCGACGGTGCACGGTGAGGGACCGGTTCCCCAAGTGGTGCTTCTCGGCGTACAGGCTCGGAGACTGGCGAAGCGCAGTAAAGATGCCGGTAATGCTCGAGTTAATGCTAGTGGAGTTGTGTCACATCTCGACATATTGGTGAGGCCCGGATCTCCGCCTTGGAACTCGAATGTGTCGTCCCGGCCGCGTTGCTCTATTGAGAGTTGAGACCTGAAGTGTCGTGTGCGGCGGTTGTGGCTTATGCAAGTGAGGTCTGTGGGTCGGATAAGAGAAGCTGAAATCAGAACATGAGCTACTAGATGAAGCACTCTCCCCCAAGGTGGAAGCCCTCGCCCCTTTGAAGTTGCAGCTGTCCGATGCTTTGTGCCCCGGTCTGTTTGGAAAGCTTCTGGATGCATGTTTTGTTTGAGTTTGTCTCACCAGGAGCCCTAATCTTCAGTCCCCAGAAAAATTGGATGCAAGATGATGCAAGGGCCGCATGCCCAGCTGGCCACGAGATCGGCGTGGAGGCTGGTGAGGACCGGACCTCCGACAACGGGATGGTATAAGGGCTTTTCTTGGATACTCGTAGCTCTCAGCCTTCAGTCTGTGATCTGTGTTGGGGGCAGCATTGAAAACGTCCAGCGCGAGACTTGACATTCTGCAAGCCTGCATGTGCTCGCGCTTTGAGCGCAGGCCGTGCGGCGCGTGGCGGAGCTTTGCATCGCGCTGGCCGCCGAGGAGTGGGCACAAGTGTTGGGCGGGGCTGGTCGCAGGTTGCGGTCGTGTCAGGTGAGGTCCGATTCGTGAGGAGGCTGCAGAGATACGTTGGGCAAGAGTTGATTAAGGCCAGTGCTTTCGTCTGGGGGCATGGTGGGAGCTTAACTAGGACCACAAAAACGCGGTGACGGTGCCGGTAATTCGTCTTGCGTTTTTGCTCTAGCTTGTTGTTGCACGTTGCCAAAACCGGGGAAAACAAACTATTTACAGCAAAACGCATCAAGCAGAAGGGCAAAAATATTTGGGACATCCTATATTTTTGGATGTTTACAGTGCTAGAACCCAAGCGGCGGCAGTGTTTTCGCGCAGATTCCAAGCAAAACTTTGTCAGGCTTTACACTTCCCGCAGAGGCCGGCCCAGGCTTTATACGCTTGTGACAACACGTCTTGTTACACTTCCTTGCGCAGTATGTTGTACAAAGAGGCAACAACGCTGTAAATGCCAGGACTCTTGTGACATCGCGTCCTGTTCCACATACTTGCACAGTATGTTGTACAAAGAGGCAAAAACGCTGTAAATACCAGTGTTTTCGGCATGGTCGCCAGAGGCATGGATGTTTGTGACAACGTGTCTTGCTCCACATCTTTGTGCAGCATGTTGTGCGAAGAGGCGAAACGCTGTAAACTAGCGATTTGGGCATTGACGCACTTACCCCCTCCCCGCACCCATGCCCCGCCCCCACCCAAATAAAGGGCGCGCTACGGGCGCCGTCACCTAAAATGACCTCCGTAGCCTCATCGCCGTTTTTGCTTCTGTGCAAAGATCGGGCGAGTTCTCCCCATGTATTCGATTCTACTTCCCTCGCCTTCAGTTCCCGTAATATCTTTTGCGCAGGCAGGGCTCACCTCCGCCGCTCGCTTGACATCGCCTGACAGAGGAGATTCGTGGTGGTAGGTTGTGTAGTGAAATCAGTGGGTCTGCACTGATGCCGCCTTGCCTTTACATGTCGATTTGTCATGTCTTGTTGCAGAAAAGGGAGGCTTTCATGATCAGACGACCGTACTCTAAGTCGTGAGTCGGCATGAGGCGAATCTGAAGGTGAGCTCGGTGAGTCGCATGAAGCAAGCAGTCTCGTGGCCAGACGGGGCCTTGAACTGTTCGAGGATCTCCCAGTCGTGTATTCGTCATTGAAGCCGCAGGTAAGTTGAAGCTCCTGAAGAAAGCCCCACCTCTATGATGCTCTTTGTTACTTCGGCTCGGTGCGAGGTGGGAGTGGCCGAGCTGCTTGCTGAGGTCTCTTGGCCTTGAAGGCTTTGTTGTAGCTCTGTAAGCCGTGCAGGTTGTCGTGCAGGATGGATACTCCTCCTTAGACAGATCCATGCCAAGTTCTGCAGCCGTGTACTGTAGCGAACCGCGAGCCTCACTAGGCACCAGGTGTGGAGTAGAGCCAGAAGAGGCAACCCGAATCTCCAATCTGCCGTAAAGACTGACGTGATCTGCGCACCCTGTTCAAGAAGCCACGACGGACCTCGAGAAAGGCTTGGATAGGCTTAAAAGATCTTAAAAGGACTTTGTAAGCTATTACTATTGTTCGCTCTGCTCAGGGCCTCAGCGCAGCTGCGAGCCTTCTGCCTGGGTCTGGCTTTGGAGCTGAGGCGGGTGAAGCCTCGTAAAGCCTTTTTGGTGGAGTTGTTCGACACACCTCCTGGCGAGTGTGCGGTGGAATTTCAGCCAGGTGATGGCTGTTCTCGAGCCTTTGGGAGCGGCGCTGGTGGCTGGGACACAAGGAACCGGGGGGACATCGGCACCCTTCAGCGTGTGACGGCCTTTTTGTGTTCTTATGTAGGAGATTACCCTTCCCAACTTGGTTAACATGTCGTTTTCTAACTCCAGCAGGCTTTTCACAGCGGACCATCCGTCATGCGTAATCTTTGCATGGCAGCATGATCTAAGGACGGCTTCGCGGTTCAGATCCTGGCATCCCGGCAAGGGAAGGAGTTCAAAGGGCGCGCAAAAACCTGGAGTACCGAGGCCAACCTGTGGCGTGTCCGCCTCAGCATCCTCAGGGACTTGTAGACGTGCCGCCGAAAACTGTGCGACCTCCGAGCAGCGACTATCCCTGCTAATCTGAGAGGCTTGGACGGGCCAGTGCAGCCAGAGTGGAGCATGGAGCGCTTTGCAAAGCCGGGCGTCCTCTGCTTCGCAGACACCACGCAGCCCTTCTGCAAGCACGCCCTGGATCTGAGGCTCTACCAGGCCCTCCAGGCGCGGGAGTCAACAACTCAACAACCCCGCCTTTGTGGAATTTTGTGGCTCCTTTTCTGCTCCGATGCTTTTTTCCCGAGTCTCGCGCGGCAGGCTGTGTGCATTTGGACCCTGGCCCTGTTGCTCCGTGCGATCGGGCTCGGCGGTGGGACCTCGAATCTCTGGGAGCCCTCTGGCGCCGCAGGTATTCTAGCAATTTCGATATGTCTTTTTCCAGTTAAAGAAAGAGCCAGGGCAGCCGATGTGCGAAGCGTTTGGGGAGCAGGTTCTGCAACGCAGACGCCCTGTGTGCCCTTATCCTCGTGAAGGGGGCCTTGAGCTTCCAGCGTGGCCGGCGCGAGACCTCCTGCGTAAGGGTGCCGCATGACTTACCGGAGCTGCAGAAGGCGATCCTCTCCAGTGCGCTGGGCCTCAGCCACCCGAGCCTCGTCTTTGACGGCGAGGCCGACGGCGACGTTGGCATCGCCGAGCGCCAGGAACAGCTGCTAAGCCACTGTGCACTGCTGGCAGCCGCGAGTCTCAAGACAGGTGCAGCTTGTACAGCACGTGGAAAGCGCCTTCTTGGTCCGCTTGGCTGAGGCCGTGGCCTCTGAGAATGAGCTCCTGGACTGTTTGTTATCTTATGACTGGGCAGCGGCAGCGGACCTTGTGCCCGTGCTGGCTGCGCATCTGGCAGTCATGGCGAGCTCGACACAGCTCCCTCTTCCCCATCTTGAAGATGCTGCCACCAACTATCTGCGGCACCTGAAGCTCCGGTCCCTTGGCTTCATAGCCTCATCTGTGGAAGCAGTCCATAATACCTTTTCGGCAATTTGGCAAGGTCACTGATTATTTGGGACATACTTCTCCTCGAGACCTCGCCTGGGCGCGGCTTCCTCCGTGACTGCGCGCAGCTCGCCTTCCACGTGGCTCCCAGCCCGGAAGCGGCCAGGTCCCTGGTCTCTCGGGTGGGCGCCGAGTGCGCCGACGCCCTCACCGTGGCCTTCTCCTGCGCCCTTCTAGCAAACGCGGGGCTCGGGCCGAAGGAGACGGCCGAGACGGAGCTCGTCTGCAAACTCTCCGCGGCGATGCGGGGACAGGCGAGGGCTCAACTGGAGATGACCAGTTTCTGGAGAAAGGACAAGGCCAGGCGGGCCCTGCTGGGACCATCCGCCATCTCATGTCGTGCCACCACCGGAAGTTTTTCATGCACGTGCTGTGACTCTGCTATGCCTGGTTTTCACCGTCGCTCAAGTCAACATCGCAGGGACGAGTGCAGTATCATGCAGCTGCTAGCAGTAGTTGTAGGTTCCCAGATACCAACAGCGTATGCACCGGCACAAGGCAAGCATCGTTTCACATCAAACGTCTTGGAATCACAGTTTAACACCTTGCTGCCGCCATGTGGACTTCTCCAGTCTCGAAGCGCGAGGCTATGGATAAGAATGCTAGGGATTGGCAGATGGGAACGGACCTGGCAAACGAAGGGAGCCGGTTGTGGGGGAAGATGCAAGGCTACATCCAAGGACATACGCCCTTGGACACGGAGAGGCATTGCACGGATTGTCTTTTCATCCCCTTGTTCTTGGCTGCCATCGTTGGGCTTTGCCTTTGCATCAACAACGCCATGGAGAAGGGAAGCTTTCAGAGGCTGACGTCACTGCCGGATTTCGAGGGCCACCTTTGTGGAACGGACGGGCAGGGGCAGTACGTGTACTTCTGCCAGCAGGGCGGGACCTTGGATTTGCATCACCAGATCTGCGTTCCCAGCTGTCCCATTGACAGCAGCACTCAAATCTTTTGTCGGGGGACCGGCACAAACCAGCCCAGCTACGCCACGCACCCCGTGGCTGGTATGGTCTGCATGCCAGCAGCTGCCGAGGTCGCTTCACAGGCACGGCCGGGTAAAGTTCCGTCAAACTGCAAAGGAGAGAGGAGGAACTCACGTGAGTATTGTAAATTGTACGTGTTTCAACGGAGTGCCCCATTGCGACATCTCGGCACCTGCTTCTTCCCAAAGGCTCGAAAGGGAGTGTGTGCTGAGGCTGCTGAGGTGTGGCATGCTTGAGCCAGGGCAGGCAGGGGGAAGAGAAGTCGGAACCGTGTCAGGTCAAGCACCTCTTCGACAGCAATACCTACCTTAAGACGCTCTTCGAGCTCGTGGAGATCACTTTCGACTGGGAGCAGCTCATTGTGGCAGCGGTGGTAGCCTCTGTCGTATCCTACCTCTACCTCTTTTGCATCTCCCTTTGTGCCTCCTTCTTGGTGTGGCTTTGTTTGATTGCTTTGGTGGTGCTGCCGACGTGCTTGGGTTTGGTCTATGTGTACATGTCTGCCAGCCCGGAGATCATTGTGCCCAACTCCTACCCTGCAATGATCACATCGGGTGACACCCGGAACGACCTGACTGTGGGCCTCTCTCTCTGCGGGGTGGGCGGCCTCCTGGCATGCGTGGCGATGGTGAAGGCCAAGACCATACAGGCTGCAGTGGTCAGCATCGAGGAGGCGGCCGACTGCATCCGTCAGATGCCCGTCCTGGCCGTGGAACCATGGATTTCAGTGGTCATCAAGCTGCTCTTCTTCGTGCCGGGCATGCTGGGCCTCCTGGCAAGCAACGGAAGAGAGAGAGCAGAGTCTGTGTTGAAGAGAATAATTGCACCTAAGCCTAGGCCTCCTTATGCTGAACGTGTCCGGAGACCTTCCGAGTCAAGTGGACTTCAGCCAGGGTCAGCCCGTCTACTCCGGGGACCCCATGGTGGCCATCTCCCTGGTCTACTACTTTGTGGTCTTCGTCTGGATCATGGAGCTTCTACACTCCGTCTCGCAGTTTGTCGTGATGTTTACCGCTCAGGTCTGGTTTTTCAGAATGAAGGGCTACGAGACAAGCTTCTGGGCCCATTTCACAGCCTATGACATGCTTTGGGGTTTCATCTATGGCCTTGGCTACCATCTGGGCTCGCTCCTTTATGGATCCTTCCTGTGCACACTCTTCCGGGTGGCCCGAATGTTCGCTTCCTTGCTGATGCATGCCTCCCAAAATTCTGGCAACCCTGTTGCCGAATGCGTGGCCAAATGCTTCGTTTGTTGTCTGTCCTGTGCAGAGAAGCTCATGCAATATGTCACCAGCATGGCATATTGCGACATTGTCATGAACTCCACCACCTACTGCGAGGGTGCAGAGCATGCAGTGCAGATCGTAAGCGGGAATGCCAGCCAGTTGGTGGCAGTTGAGGGCTTGGCTACCATGTTCTCCTTCGTCGGCGTTGGGGTATCCTCTGCTGCGACCGCCGGAATCTGTTGGTTTCTCAGCACAACCTTCAGCCGCTATAGCAGTCCTGTCAGTGATCACTATGTCCCAGACAAGCAAACGATGGTCATTTGTGCAGCAGTCATTGGCGCAGTCATGGCTGTTCCCTTCATGCATCTCTTTGATACGATCTGTGATACCGTGGTCTACTGCAATGCGACCAGTAGCTTTCGCCTGCCTACATGGCAAAGCTCCAGCGGAAACGGCGGATTCTGGGGATGGTTCACTGGACACTAGCAGAGCCATCTTTGAAGTCCCTGAGACAAGGCTGAGCCTTTGGAGATTTCAGCAAATAGCCTTTAGTTAAACTACAGTGCCATAGCTTCGACGACCGTCGCATTGAATTCATCTGCCAGAAAGCTGGCGCGCCTGCCACCGCAAAGCACGCGCAGGGTGAGCCCAGCCAAAGAAGGAGTGTTCGCTCCAGGCTCGCGTTTCTGTACAATCCTAGCGGACGTTTTGGGTTTGCAGCATCGCAGCTGGCTTCATCCTGTGCACGGAGGGCAGGTTCTGCAAGGATCTTGCACTGACTCTGCGCTGCCCAAAAGCTAGGGCGATGCTCTGCGAGGTTTCTTGCAGCCACGCGTGAAATGCCTGTGCCTTAGGGCCTTGCTCTCTGGGGTCCTTTCCGCAGGCGGATGACTGGCTGTCGCTGTTCGGCCTGGAGCCCAAAGAGGCGGGAAGCTCGGGGCTCGGGGTGCCCGAAGTTACCTTCGCGTTCTCCTGGGACCTTCTCGCCGGTGAATCTCCGGTTGCTTGGTAAGGGAAGATCTGCAGCATACTCGTGTCTCTCTCGCCCATCGGACAGAAAGCACAGCCGCACACGCAACAACCCGGGGCACGACCATAAAGTATATAACAGTCCATGGCAGGAGGTTTAGGGAGCCCATGCTCTGGCCTGCGGAGAATTCGTGCAGCCCTGACGAGGCCAAACCGAAACGGCCGGAGCCGGAGCACTGCACCGTGCTTGCCGAGACCAGGACGGGGCTTCAGTGCCCGACGTCCCTCGCTTCGGGCCTGGCCTCAGCGATGTCTTCTAGACTTTGTGCAGGAGGCGAGCGCCTTCAACTCCTGGACTTCGAGATCTGATGTCTGACGTTCCCAAAGAGTTTTGCTGCGCACTGGACGGCAGGCTCGTGAGCAAAGTTTGCGGTGTCAAGCATCCTTTCTCTCTCTCTTCTCTCTTCTCTCTTCTCTCTTCTCTCTTCTCTCTTCTCTCTTCTCTCTTCTCTCTTCTCTCTTCTCTCTGCTCTCTTCTCTCTTCTCTCTTCTCTCTTCTCTCTTCTCTCTTCTCTCTTCTCTCTCTCTCTCGCACATATGCAGCAGGTGGTCTCTCTGCTTGGTTGTGTTTGATGCTGTTGCGGCACAAGCCCAATGTGTTCAGGCTGCTGGTGGATCCAGTCCGCACGCCCGGCGGCTATGTCTATGAGCGCTCAGTGCTGGCCAAGTCCCTGGCGGAAGGACGCCGGACTCGTGGCGAGGTGTTTACTTTCGGTGCTGCCACGAAGCATGGTGAGTCTCCGACATCCATTTCATGCTGTGTCGAAAACGGTCTTGCAGCGTGAGACCCTCGGGTGTCAAGACTCGGCATGCAGCCGTTCATCGACTTCAGAGCTTACGAAGCGCTCGAGCGGCCTTTGTTGTAACGGATCGCTCGAAGAAGAGCTCTGCAGAGCAAGAAAGGTGAGAGTTGCTCAGCCGTGTGAGACGTCAGGAGATCCTCGTGTGCTTTCCGACAGCCCGTACACCCTGCAAGACTGCCAGCGAGACGCAGGCCGGGAGAAGGCATTCCACATCATCCTACATCTCTTCCCGTCTCCGACTTGGCATTGTTCGCATGTCTGCTTTCTGGAAGTTGCCAGGCTTGCGAGCCAGGATCGTCGATTGGGTTCGAAGCACCCACTCCCAAAGCAAGGAGAAAAGGAGCAGCGGATTCTTTGTCCTCATGCATCGTGTGTCGTCGTGTGTCTTGTAGGATTTCTCATCAGCCGCCGACCTACCGAATTGTGTCATCCTGGTCCTTTCATCATGGCAGCCCAGCATCCATAAGGCAAGCCGCTCTTCGTCAACAAGAGGCATAGATGCGGCGCTTGCTGTTTGGCTCCGATGTGCTCGCCAAGCAGCCCGCAGCATGGGTGCCAGCGGACAGTCGAGATTGAAGAGACTTTGCTTCGCTTTGGCTTGGTCCGTTTCACTGGCCCAAGATGGCTTGGCAGATGCTGTCGTGGAGTGGATTGGTGACTTTGTCTTCCGTGCAGGTTCGGACAGGCTGGCTGCGACAGCATCAGCTGAGGAAGTGGAGATGCTCACCAAACTGACCAGGTTAGCCCACATTGCCTACGATGAGGAGGCCCTTGGCGCGAAGTTGCCGGATGGGTTGACGCTACGAGCTACGGGTCGCGAGCGTGCGGTGTGGTTCATGGCGCAAGAACTTGGAAATGTGTTTCTGGTATTCCGTGGCACTTCGGAATGGAAAGATTTGCTTGCCAACGTACAGGTCTCGCCAGACCTCTCTGGAAACCATCGGGTTCACGGTGGTTTCGCGCGTCATGTCAGCCGGAAAGCAAACCCTATACTTGAAGCAGAGCTGGCAAGGCTTCCGAAAGGCTGCGATTTGCACCTCCTGGGGCACTCGCTCGGAGGTGCCATGGCTTTAGCCCTGCTTGCATCAGGCAGCCTTCCGGAGGAGCTGGGAAGCGTGGAGGTGACAATGATAGGCTCCCCGAAAGCCTTTCACGATGTGGCACCCTCGGTGCAGGAGCTAGGTGCCAGGAAGATAACATTGCTTGTGAATCACGGAGACATCATTCCACGCCTGCTCGGCAATCGGAAGGTGGACATTTCGCACCACTTGAAGCATATCAAGCAATTAGAAATTCGAGACGAAGATTTGCCAGCTCTGGCGAATTACAAGCACCCAGATGGTTTGAACTTGGTAGTGTTGCGAGGCACACAAGCATTGAAGCCATCACCACTTCTTCATGATCAGGTTTGGCTGGATCCGACGGCCCTTGCAGGCATGAAATGGGACCCTGTGACGGATCATCAAATCACGGAGTATGTGCAGTCACTCGACTCCCTCGATCCCTCCAAGTTAGGTCGATCAGGGCTACTCCAGTCGCTGCAAGTCTTTGGCGATGCCACCACCTCGTAGATGCGTACCGATCCACCCGTGGAAGGCTGCCGGTAACAATGGCCGCTTGCCGTTGTGTACAGAAGTTTCCAGCTCAAGCCCAAGACGTGAAGCCGCGAGGGTACGGCAAGATCTGCCACAGGATGATTGCATTCAAGCACGCTGCATGTGAGCCTGTACTGCACTGCTGCTTCCGTCAGCACGGGTGGGTTGGATGTGGATGAAAATCACTTGCGCAAGCGTCCCAGTCAGGTGAACGCATGGTTGCTCGCAAGTGGCTCTCTTTCCGCGATTCAAGGTAGCAGCTAGATGGAAGCAATTGCATCTCCCTTTTCGAGTTGAATCGTGCGGCCCGACGGGTAGAATATGATTACATGCAAGGACGCTACAATCGGTTTGTCGCACTTAATTTCGTGTACTTCAGAGACGAAGTACCTTCGGCACCCTCCTGCCACCAGCGGCGCGCTTCGCAGCATGTCATGCTCCTTGCGCGGGTGGTCAAGGACTGCTCGTGATGCTCGTATGGTGTTGTGTTTGCTCGTTCCATCTCTGCATGGCGTGCATCTGCAGCCTGCTCTGCCTGTGATCTTGTGGTCAAGCAGCAAAGTAATCCCGCTGTAACGGCTGGGTGCTGATAGCATCTGTGCTTGCAAGGTCGCGCCCCGCTTCCGTGAGGCACTGGGAGGCAGCTGCACCCACTGCCGGCTTCTGGGGTTCTTGTGCAAGAGTACTCGCAGGTTAAAGTCAAGGAATTTCCGCGACGGCAATTTGTGCAGAGAGCCGTGGAAAGCCCTTCTGGTTCAAGTCTCCCAGTCTACCTCCCTGTGGCTTTCTCCAGCCATGTGTCTTTGCTGCAGGGAGGGGATGTCAGGTAAGCGCTTCGGAGACAGCTCATGTAAGGTCCTCGCTCGCCCCCACGCTTTGCCGCGGATTCCGCAAGGGCATGGTGCCCCCGGCGGTTACCGCCGTGCAGAGGAGGCTCGCCCTAGAAGCGGATCTGGAGAGCGTCGATGCGTGACGCGTGCAGGTTCTTGAACCTGCACGAGTACCAGGCCAGCCTTGCAACGCGCACTAGCTTCCTCCCGTGTGTGTGTCGAACTTTTGTAAATGGAATGTTGTGAGATGTGAGTTAGGAAACAGGCACCGGGTCTTGCAGCTTTGCAGGCGCAGATCATCTTCCAGAAGCCGCTTGGGTGCAAGCTTCAACGAGCGTTGTTTCGATTTCCGCGAGCCTTTGATGGCCGTGCTGGCCGTGCCTGGGCAGGTTTGGAGTCGGCGTGCCGAAGAACCTGCCCGCTTTCTCTGTCACAGAAGCGGTGGAGAAGGCCAAGGAGATCCCCGGTGACGAGGTGGTGGCCGTGGCCTCAGCAAAAAGAGCTCCGGCGGCTCCTGCGGCGTAAGGCGTAAGTGTGTGGGTTCATCAACGAGCCCAAGCTGCACCGGACCACTCAGAGCCCTGGAAGCCCAGGTGAAGGCCCAGGTTCTCGCTGGCGGCCGAGGCCTGGGCCACTTCAAGGCAAGGTTGCGCTTCTCCTGTTGTTGCATGTTCACAATCTCCGTTCTCTGCTGCATGTGCTGGGGTGTTGTGGCTCTTCTTGTGGATGGTCTAGATATTGTTTCGAGGATTGGAGGTCCAATCATGATCACCTGCATATTGCCGGAGCGCGTGCTGTGGAAAAAGCGTCCGCGGTCGTAATCTCGTGCACGGTCCGGGGCTGCCCACGAGGAGGTTGCCCAGCGGACAACGCTATAAACTGTTACCAGAGGGGGAACATCCCCTGTGGGCGAGATATCCCTTGACCAAAGCATGTCGTGACGATGATGGCGATGTTGGTGATGGTGATCATGAGGATGAGGGGTGATGTCGGTGATGGTGGTTGGTGTGCCTGCTGTTGGCGTTTGTGGTTCATCTTTGCCCTTGTCCTTTGTCTTGGCCTTCTTGTCGTCGTTTTCTGCAGGGGTCTTCGTACACGTGATTATTGAAGGATTGGGAGGCACATGACGTGGGTGCTGTTGGAATGCATGCAAGACTCCAAAATCCGTTAGAGGCCGTCCACCTGAGTGGAGAGCACACCTCGAGTCAGGAGCCAGTTTCGGTTCTGACATCAGGAGAACAGCTTCCAGGGCGGGGTGCACATCGTGCCCAAGACCAAGGTCGCCGAGATTGCCGAGAAAATGCTCGGAAAGACGCGGCTCGGTCGGACCAGCCCAACTGCCCGTTTGCATCTAATCATAGCAGGTGAGGTTCTCAACCCAAGAAATCCCAAGCCCAAGAATGTTGACCATGTTCGATTCCCAGGCCTGCTAAGTCCGAAGCGGAGAATGTCCTGCACAACTTCTCATGACAAGACCTCGACCCACCCGCCCGAACCCTTTCCTCCTAGAATGCAGGATGCAGTAGGATCATTTCCTTGCTTGTTAGGCAGAAATCCTGAACGCCCTGCGACATCCCCCCATCCTCCCGGAAGGCCTTCCCAAGGCTCTAGACTGCTAGATGCATCGAGGCTCATCACCAAGCAGACTGGGGAGGAGGGCAAGCCCAACAACACGCAGCTCGGATGAGAAACAGGCTCAAGCTTCGGGATGCAGCCTCTCCCGACCTTGCTCCCTGTGACAAGGGTGCTCCTGGCCGAGAAGGTCTCAATCAAAGATGCGTCTCGTCCTGCAGTCGGAGAAAAGGGCAAGGGCACATGCCACAAGCTCTGGGCACCCTAAACCCTAAACCCTCAGCCCTATGACCCTAAACCCTGAACCCTAAACCCTGTGACCCTTTGTCTGCTGCAGGAGAAGTACTTCGCCATTTTGATGGACCGGGCAAGCGGCGGCCCGCTCATGATCGGCAGCAAGACCGGAGGAACCTCCATCGAGGACCGGGGCTGCTCCAGCCGTGCCTGGGCCGTGCGGTGTTGGTGTGAAGAAGGGTTTTAGGGTTTAGGGTTTAGGGTTTTAGGGTTCAGGGTTTTGGGGTTTTAGGGTTTAGGGTTAAGGGTTTAGGGTTTTAGGGTTTTAGGGTTTTAGTGTTTTAGGGCTTTCTAGTTTAGGGTTTGGTCCCTTTCAACTTTCGACGGCGCAGGACATCGCAGCAGCAGACCCCACGGCCATCATCAGAACACCGGTGGACATCATCGAAGGCCTCTCGTGAGCATCGCCGGCTTTGGTGGCTGTTTTTCGGGAAGTTGGAGTTTTCGGGAAATGATTTCCAAGCCTTTAAGGGGCATCCCACAAAGTCCGCATGCTTACAGGCCACGTGATCTCAACTGAAGCCCAGACGGTGTCATGTTCGGGGGTCATGAAGCCAGTGGTACGCCGTGAGGTACAAGACGTTATTTCCTTCCTTTCGAGCGTGTCGTAAACCACGCCTTGAGGCAGGAATGAAAGTCGAATTTCGCAGGCTGGAGTCCAGATTTTGTGACTCCTCACCTGCCAGCTCGACTGTCGTTGGACGTGGTCGGCCAACAATGGTTCAACGCCATCAAAGTTTAGACCATGTGGATCAAAGAGAGCTCGCCGAATTGTGAAGATGGCCGCGCGATGATCATGCGCAGCTCTGCCAGTTCTTGCCGTGCAGATAGATCTCGACCTTGGCACGCTCATGCACGAAGTCACGGGTGCCACTTTTTCGCTACACGGAGCATGAAACGGAGGATTTGAGAACACAAGCTTGTCGTCTTGAACTTGTGTCATCGTGGTAAGCATAGCTTGTCATCCTTTGGACAGCATTATTAGCTGGGGTTACCAAAACTCAGCGCCGAGTGAAAACTGTTCTCTGCGCGATGCGAGCACCGACCACGATTCAAGCACACACGATTACAGCACACTTGATTAACGAGGGTTTGGGGTTTTCGGATTCTACGGTTTGGAGGGTGTGGGGTTTGGGCTTTGTGCATTTGCTTCAGTGAACTTTGCACAGGTTCTTCCATGTTCTTCTCGGGTTTAGGTCTTGAAAGGTTCGAGTTGCGGGAGTTTGAGGTTCAAGGATTTTAGGGTTTAAGGTTTATGTTTCTAGGGTATGGGGATTTAGGGGTTGAGGGAAGGGTTTGGTAAAGGGCGTTAAGGGGCTTTGCGGTTCAGGGTAACGTAGAGGTGTCGTTGGTTTTGAGTTTGTACGTCAACGGCTGTTGCCGTTCAGGATTGCAGGCGTGGGAGTTGATAAACTTTAGGGTCTAGAGCCGTCCAGCGTGTCCAGTGCCAGTGTAGGGATCGTTCGTCTCCTTAATCCCAGGTTTTGAGCTAACTTACAGGGGTTACACGCCTGTGCGAATCCGCCGTCCAGCGCGAAGATTCGATGTGCGAATTCGGCGCATACACACGTGCATGGCTGTGGGTCTCGTCTTTTGGGTCAGGCATCAAGATGCCGGATGCCGAGAAGATGGCGACCGAGATGGGCTTCAGCGGTGCCCAGGCAAAGGAAGCGGCTGCTTGGATCAGATCAGTCAGACATTCACCTCCAATCTACAGTCACGAAGGCAGAGATACTGCAACACAGTCGCACAGCTCAGTGTCGTTTTCGGAGATGGCACTTGTCCGAGGCAACCCTGATGGCCAATCTCTACAAGGACGGGATGTCATACCGGCACGAAGCGGCATGCAGCTGGACCACACCGTGATTTGTGTCACCTGTGGTGCCATGGAAACCTGAGTTTCTAAGCCACGCGGCTCTCCTAGTAGATTGACACAGCCTTTCCTGTGGTCCTGGAGCTATGTCAGACTGAGAGATCGGCCATGATTGTGCGCAGTCTGCGCTGACGCATACTTTTGGGTTTATGCCGTTATGCCTAAACCCTGATACTGCCCTTTAACAAGGGCCCCGACTTTTTGCAGAAGACCGGCACCTCGAAGTAGCGCCAAGGGACATCGAAGAGATGTATCACTGGTGCCCGAATAGGTCTTCATCGAGTGCGACTGCACCATGCTGGAGATCAACCCGCTGGCCTCGTTGACGGACGGTCGTGTGCTGGTCTGCGACTCCAAGGCCTCCAGCACGGTGTAAGACAGTCTGTAAGCTCCACTTATGACAAGCCGGGTTCGAGGAAGCTTACGTGCCTTACTTCAGATTTTGCTTCGGTTCTCTGGCTTCGAGGGTTTTGACCCGAGTGCTTGGAGATGTTTTCTGACCATCTACAAGACAATTCGAGCTGCTTTGCGAACTGAGCATGATGAGCTATAGCCGTGCGACTGTAAGCATCTGCAAGTGGTTTGTTGGTCCAACATGCACATGTTGCGTCCCTGTCCCGCTCGCTGCACTGAGAAGACTCATTGCGAAACGGACACGTAGGTCAACTTCGACGACAATGCCTCCTACCGCCAGAAGGAGATTCATGACCAGCGGGACACCTCCCAGGAGAACCCTATCGAGGCAATAGCACAATAATAGAGTGAAGACATGACAAGACGGGCGCTGCCTAAACCGAAAGCATTGACAACATCTTACCCTGATTTGGTAAGGTGGAGGCCAAGAAGTATGACTTGAACTACATCAAGCTGGTTTTGCAGCTGCATTTGAGCCCACCAGGAGAGACTTACTGGGTTCGGTTCAATGCGCTAAGGACGGCAATGTGGCGTGCATGGTGAACGGAGCTGGCCTGGCGATGTCCACCATGGAATCTCGTCACGGTCATATGAGTCCTACACAATGCAAAGCTGAACCTGTACGAGCTCTGTGTATCGACTTTTATCGTTTGTATGTATGGACGGGACATAATCACGTGTAGCGGCCCTGGTTCGAGTGTCTTCAGCCTTGGGCTTTTGCGTCGAAACAAGGAAGCCTGCAGTGACCTCGCATGAGGGGTGTCCGCCACTCTTGCTAATCTCTGACTAACCATCCTGTCACATCTTATCGGTCCAATCGCCGGGTGACCGGCAAAATTCCTTGTGGGCTGCTCTGTCTGCCTGGCTCCGTCTTGAGCCAAACGTTTCCCAATCCTGTAGCAATTGAGAGAACTCAGAAGAAGCACCTGAGTTCGACGATATTCAGATCCTCCTAAAGGTGGTTGCCCTTCCCGATGGTGCTTCATGTTTGAAGCACGAGCCACGGCTAGGACCTTCTCAGCATCCTCGGCGGAAGCCCCGCCAACTTCCTGGACGTGGGTGCACGGCATGCATAGCTTGGGTGGCTTCAGGGCGAGTGGGCTTCGCTTGGGATCCATGTGTCTCAGACCTGTTTTCCTTAATTCGGTCGGAGCTGCTGTCCGCAAATAGTCTGTCCTTACTCTTTATTTGGGACTCCAGAGTTTGTCGCGTTGCGACTGATTTGGTAGGTGCTATTGTTGCCGGAGCAACTCGTTTCGTGAGCGTTTTTGCCCAGGTCTCGGAGTGCCTATAGGAATGGCTCACAGGTCATGAGCGTTGTGCTTTACGGGTATAGGGTCGTGTAGCAGAAGCTTTTTTTGCCGCGTGGCACGTGAGGCGGTGCATCTACTGTGGAGACCATGACCATGGCGTTCAAGACGCTTGCAGAAGGTTATGTTGCATATTCGTAGCCTAGGCAGTGTAAGTATGGTTGGATTCGTGTCACGAGTGTTCATGATGTGGTTCGGAAAAACGAGAACTGTGCCGTGATCTCCAGATGATCATTCAAAGCTTTGTCACACATTCTTGATACGAGCAAGGATCATCATGGGCGACCCCAACGTGGCAGCCTCAAATACCTAGCATCGGATGTACACTGGGCTTGGTGTTGCTTGGAAAGTGAAAGTGGATTATGGGAGGCTTCCGGGTAGGTGCTTCTGAAAGGTGAAGTCCATCTTCGTCAACATCTTCGGCGGCATCGCCCGCTGCGATCACATCGCAGAGGCCGTTGTGGCGGGGGTGAAGGCTGTGGGTGGCAACGCGGCCATCAAGCCGCTGGTGATCCGCCTGGAAGGCCAGTGATCCTTCGAAAAATCGTGGGCTGAGGAGTGGGTGCACGGTCTGTAGCCGGGAAGACCCTAGACAGGTCATCTCGAAGGGAAAGTAATTGGAGAAAGATCGCACATGTCAGTTCAAAAGCAAACATTTCAGAGGTTAGCTGCAATGAGAGCAGAAATATGCATCATGATTTGGCTGAATCTAATTGCGAAAGTAGCATCTCCTTTCGCAATATTGCAGATAGCTCTGCGCAGGCACGAATGTCGAGGCTGGCATGAAGATCATCAAAGAGAGCGGAGTGGAAGCTTTCCTCACTAACGACTTCACCACTGGTGCCAAGAAAGCCGTCGAGCTTGCGACCAAGTGATGCCGGACCTGAAGAAACGTTGGTGTAGGTGTTAAAAACACTACCTTGCCTCTCCAAGCTCTCCGGTGCCTTTGAACGTGTGGGCGACCCTGCCTACCCTGTCTGGTTAGGTTTTGTCCCATTGACCTGGGATTCACGCAGAAACCCACGTAACCACTCGGAGAGACGGAGGGGAGCCGTGATGTTTTGAGAGCAGCATTGATTTAACGTTGCTGCCTTCCTGAATCAAGAGATTCAGAGCTGTTTCAGCTTGCCAGGTTCGTGTAGCCTGTGTGAAACACCGAGTTACTCCAGACTAACCAAGGGTGACAGATGAATAATTTTTGCAAACCGGTGCGCGCAGATACGTATGTTCGCAACTTTGGCTTGGCGTGGTAGTCCTAGGTCCTAGGTCTTTTTTACAGCAGAGAAGCACCTAGCAAGCAAGATGCTGCTGGAGCCACCTTGGCCGTGCTGACGCAATCGATTGGACTTCTCCATTTTGGCACGTCTCTGAGAGAGGCCGCAGCCCGTCGTGAAAACGTGCAAAAGATGCAGGGCTGTGACTGTGTGACGCCATGTCAGGTTTCCTGTGTGCCGGGTGTTCAGCTTTGGCATCCTTTTGGGGGTACTACTACAAGCCTTGCATCAGATCATAGTATGATTCCTCTTCGGTTTCAAAGCACCGCGCATCCTGAACCTTCTTCCCTCAGGCACCACCGCGGCCTTCGCCAGCGCGGCGAAGGCGGCACCTGCAAGCAGATGGTGCTGGTCCCTTTAAAGTGCGTCCTTGCCTATCAAGGCAATGTTGAAAAATCACTTGGAGAAGTTTGTTTTGAACGCAGGTTGCCAGATTCAAGAATCAGAAGCTTCAACTTCGGCGCAGAACCCAGAACCTTAAGGGGCCAGATCAACCTCGGGTCATGTGTGTCGCTAGGTACGCCAAAGTGCGTCAATTCCGAGATCGACAGAAGGACGGCTTCTACCGCATGACAGACGTTTTAGGGTCGAAGTGTGAAAGGATTCCAAGACAGGAGGGAAGCTGACTGGGGTCTCATGCTTGCGCCTTGCGTCGCCTTGCGTCGTTAGCGAGGAGGGTGACTTCCCGGTCCTGCTCAGACCACACGCGATACCGGAGGCACACGAATGGGAAGGGGCTCCTTCACCCAAGTCTGCCCGTCCTCGAGGCTGCGAGCTTTCGGGTTCAAACTCCCAGTAAAGCATGGTTCCACTGTCCCACCCGGTTACTGTTGTGGTCAGGTCCGTGATCTTCAGGACCAATCCTTGGACGCAGAGGCCGGCTTAGATTGCAGCCGTCGTGCTATACAGTGCTTGTCAACTAGGTCGTCTCTGCATGTGAGGGTCGGGCTCGACCTTGCCACAGGCTGAGGTGGAGGAAGCTACAGCCCGACGTCCGGCTCAGGCCGCCGGTTGTTGGGGCTTGAAAGCGACTGCTTCGATTCCGCGCCCATGCCCCAGGGAAGCTCCAAACCATCGAAGTTTTCTGGGCCGAAAGGCGACACGGCGAAGGCTGTGGCCAGGGGAATGGGGCCAAAGCTCGAGGACTTGAGCATAGTTTGAGCTTCCGGCTGCTTCCCTTTCAGGGATCCAGAGGCCTGGTGACTACAGAGCGGGATTGTCCGCATGCGATGCTGGAAGTGAGGTGTGCTTCATCCCGTGGGCATGTCAGGCTTAAGTTGTATGTTGCTGGCGTACTGCTGCTGGTGCTGGTGGTCGCGGTGGTGGCTTTGGTGATGGTGGCGGTCGTGGTGGCGGTAGCCTTCTGGATGCGGAGGGGCCTGGCAGGAACAGTCCAAGAATCGCAGCCTTAGAATCGGCAGCTTCCACTCTCGGGCTAGGCAGTTTCGAACCGGCAATGGGAGACCGGGCCCTGCCACCTGCGGTTTCTGCTGCAGGTGGCCTCTCTGAAGGAGACGAAGGCTATGAAACCTCCGGAGGCTTTTTTGCAGCTAGGACCCGTGATGCTGTCCAGGGTAAACTGCACTTCTAGCTTCCGCCTGCAAGAGCGTTGTGCAATGCCGCATACATTGGCCTCCGAGCATAAGGCGCCGCAGTGTTTGTACATTATATGCCTTATCTATGCAGGTGCCCCGCTTCAATCCGGACCGGGACATGAGCGAGCAGGATGAGATGCCCGAGAGTCACAAAACTGCTGCGGTAGACTCCGTGCATCTTGCTTGCGCCCTTCCCCGGCGATGCAGGAAGCTGCCGAGCTGAGGGCGTCCAAAGCGCCAGAAGCCCAGATCCTGTCTGGAGAGTCTGCAGCTTCGGTGTCACAGCGTGTCGGATACAGAGGCGCCTTTTGGCAAAGCAGCTGGCAGAGCGCAACTACAGGCTCACATCTCTCACTCGATGCGAGCTCGGTGAAGCTTATCGCGATGCGGTTCGGAACTGAACTCGCAGAACTCAGCCTTGCACAGCTTTCCATGACCAGGTATATCCCCAACCCGCACAGCGAAAGACCCGGCCCGCTCGGGACGGTTGGGAGCCGAGTTCCACGATGCAGATTTCCGATCAGACGTCGAGACCATTCGAGACCGCAAGAAAAACGGCGGTTGGGTAGCAGCACATAGCAGCGCTCGAGGACGCCCAGGCGGAGGCCGACTACTTCGACCGGTCTGAGCCTTGGTTTCGCGAGCGATTTGGCGCTTGCGACTGCCGTAAATTGCCAGAAACGAGCCAGAGTCCCATTCGAATGAGTCGGTGCTTTTGAGGTATTTCAACGGCCGGCCTCCAACGCGAGACCGCCCACCACCGACCTTGTCCACTATGGACGGCGCTCCGGAGGCCAGGCAGAAAACGAAAGCCACTGGCGTCTTCAACTCCCTTCGAACCGCAGCCCTTCTGTTCCAATGCGGCCTGGAGGACCTCGTGGACCCGCGCCGCGCGAAGCCAAAGCCGACTGCCCGGACAGTGACCAGAAAATCGTGAAGATGAAGTTGAACACAGGGTTCGTGGCATGCTTCCGTGCGTCTGCCAATGTGTTTAAGATGTGTCCGAGCATGTCCGATGCTGCCACTCTTACGCGTCAGCAGCTTGCTTGGTGCATGGATGGCGAGATCTTGCCTGCAACGCACGCATGACAATCAGGCGAGAGCGAATCTCGCCCAAGCGATTTTGGATACAGCCAGATCATGTTACGTGCTAGCCTCGGATGCAGATGGGTAGCTCTCGAAATTAGGGTCCCATAGGGTCCCGCTTTCGGTCCCCCAAATAGCATGGCATACAAGGGAGCCTAATTTAGAGAACTACCCACAGGGAGGCGGGATGATCGTCGGATTCTGTGCGTCTCGGCGCCGACAGTGCTTAGGCCGGATGCACCGACTGTGGCCTTCATGAACTCGCGCGAGCTGAAGTATGCCATGGTTAACGAGGCACGACTCCTTTTCTGTGGACGTTCATCGATGCATCACGAGATCGACACTTTCCGGCCAGGCCTACTTGGTGCGGAAGTGGCGCAACGACCAGCCTGAGGCCGGGTGAAGCCGTGCAAACTCTAGGAAACAGGTCCCTGGCATGGATCCAATCGGCTTAGCATCTCCGGCTTCTTGGGCATGCGGTATCTGTGCAGGGACGCAATGCGGGGCTTCCCGCATCGTGGCTGCACCTACAGATTTGCTGTGGTTCGGATGCGGCTGTTTTCCTGAGCAGGGGGGGTTCGGCGGAAGTGCAGCTCTTCTGGTCCAGTACTAGGCAGTTTCGGATGTGAGCGAGGTGTGTCAGGGATGATAGCAAAGAGGGCTTTGTGCCAGAAGTGAGCCGTTGTCGGGGCCGAACGCCCATATCCCTGGCCCTGTGACCGCATCGAGCCCCTCGTGACCTGGGGAAGCTTCCAGCTGCAGACAATGGCTCTTCGGGGCAGGTCTGTGGGGCCGTGGGTCTCAGAGTGCTGCAAGGCTGGTGCTGCAGAGCTTTGGATGGCCTTTGGCTATCGCGCGGTCGGGGGCCCAAAACCCGAGCTGTCGGTGGTCAGGATTTTGGCTGCATGAAGCAAACATGCATATGCAACGTTGGAGACTGGCATGGCATGTGGCACGATAGCTTGATTGAGTTCTTCTAATTTTGACAAACTTCTTCGATGACTGGCTCATGGATCATGCGCTGCCTCGAGCCCTCAGCCAACATCCATTCCAGGCAGAGCTCTCATGTGGTCGCTCAGTCCGACCTTTGCCGGGTGAGGATGCGGAGGGTGCGCTGGCCCCGGGTGGGATAAGGTCACTTGTTTCGGACCGGTTCAGCCTGCATCCTACAGGTACTGGCACGGGCAGAGTGCCCCGGAACCGGTGTAGCCTGTCGACTACCCTGCGCTTCCTCCAGGCGCGTAATGCAAAAGCTGCTAAAGATATCTGGTGCTGAAAGCCATGAACTCCAACACCTGTCCGCACCTGCTTTCTTTTCGGTGAAGAGGTGCTGGCCTTCTTTCAATCACTTAACCTGTAGCAAGCTCCCGATCCTGAGCAAACCATAACCCTGCACTCTCCAACGGCCGATTGGCTGCAGGCGATGGCGTCCGTGCAGGCGGGGCCCTTCAGCGCCCTGCAGCACCTTTTGCATCGAGTGTGCCTTGGCGGGCACTCACATGCGATTCGGTGACATTCTATGAGGTTCAGAAGCGCCGTTACCACATGCTCGATTTCAGGGTGCTTTGAGGTTCTGTCGGGATTAGTGTTGTTGGGTTTCTCAAGTCCTTTCCGGCTTGGGCTTCTTTGCCCATGGCAGTTTGCAGAGCGTCGTTGCTGTTTCGCGGCCATCTGCTCTCAGAGTCTGTGTCGTCCTCTATCGGTCTCTGGGACTTTCATATCCTTCCTCAATTATTGTTATCATCCAGCCGCTCTCCACTACCGCCGCCAGCAGCACCAACACCGTCGCCCTCCCCGGCACAGTCTATCTGCATCTTCATCTTGAACGTCAGCCTCACAAACACTGCAGCCCTTGACATCATCCTTCGCTTTCTTCTCACCAGGATCATTGACATGCGCACCCTCTCAATCCACATCTCCGTCATCATCGTGTTAAGCGCATGGTCATCGTTATAGCCTATGCAATTTGGGCTAAATGTCGCGATTCGAAGGGTACGGCGGCGACGGACACCGCGACCACAGCTACCGCCGCGACCATTACCAGCTCCAAGCGGGAAACTTGCCGAGAGAGATTCAGCACGCACGAAGCCACGACGGCCGTTGCTCCAGCCTGCACATCGTGGCTCGACTTCGTCGCAGCACAGAAGACATTCCGTTAATCCCAAGCAACTCGACCCTGCCGCCTGCGGGTCTGTAAGACTCCGAGCTCCCGTGGAGTTGCACGTGACTTGAGCATCCGCCCAAAACGCCTGAAGCACAAGCGAGCAGCCAAGACAAGCACAAGCCAACTGCAACTCAGACTTCAATTTGCCAAGGCTGGAACACTTGAAAGACCTGCGCCCGCCTTGCCCTCAGCAATCCTCGGCAGTTGGGTGAGTTGACGCTTTTGCGATCCCTCGTGGAGCCAGAGCATCAAGTTTCAGGCACCAGTGCTTTTTCATCCTGCAGGCTTGCCGAGAGATCTCGACACGATACAGAGACGTGCGGGAGTTGAGGGCAGCCCCAATCCTTGTCAGAGTCGTTTTCCCCCGTTTGCAGGCCATGAGTCGCCTGCGGCTGCGGCACCCAAAGGCCCTGCTGCTTCGTTACTCACGCCTGGGGTGTGTCAACAGCCTTCTTCGGAGCGGTCGGGTCAGCGATTGAGAGTGCGTGCATGGGCTCGAAGCTCGAGCTTGGCACAACTTACCATTCTTGAAGTTCATGTGGCGAGCAACACACGCACACAAAGAGGCTGATAGCATCCAAGCTCTAAGATAACTGGCGGTCCCCACGATGCTGCGAGCTCGCCCTCGGTGATGGCGCTCGCAGCCGAAAAACTCGAACCTCCTGGGCCTGGTCCCTAGACTCGGAGGGCTTTTCAGGGATTTCCTTGCGAAACCGGCGAAGCTTGTCGACTTGAGCCTGGTGACTCACGGAGGCACGAGGATGCTGACCCGGGCAGCAAGGTGCTCCGCTTGTCAGAGCACACTTGAGCCATCTTGATGTTGGCATGGATTCGAGACATGTCCATCACTTCCCATGAAAGGTGTCCGCAGCTGCGCCCTCGGTTGTCAGCGCACTAAGCCTGGCGTGGGGTCCCAGCCTATGCTCTTCTGAATGCCAGTGCAGTCAACCGTGCTCGGCTTTGCAGAGTGATTTTTTCCGAAGCAAGTGTCGTGGCCCACATCACTTGCTGGTGACTAGCTGGGAACCGAAAGCAGCAATATTGGCAGCAAGAGTTGGATGTGCACAGTTCGCAGGGCGGTGGCAGCAAGGCTGCGTCGGCACTGTGGCTCTCTCAGCATTTCTGAAGTGTTAGGACTCCGCTCAAGAGTTGACTCAGGAAAGGCCATGTTCCTAGTTCACAGATGAGCCCAGGCTGTCCAAGGCCCCGTCTTTGCCAGTGCTCTCCACTCCTTCGCTGGGCGAGGCGTCCCGACCTGACTTCAATTTCCAGGTTTTTTTTGGCATAGGCTTGGAGGGATTGGCTTTGTTCTCGCCATGGCTCTTGACTTCAAGCGCCCGCGCAGACACTGTCCTGATGCATGTAGGGCCTGATGCATGTATGGTGTGCAGGATCATTGCGATTCGTACGGGACGTGTGCATATTCTCTGCATAGTATGCATGTGTGCATCCGTGGGTGTGTGTTGGTGTGTCTGTCTGCCTGTGTTAGATGGCTTTGATCCCACTGTCCACATCCTTCGCTCATGACTGTGCATCGCTCATGGCCGAAGACCTGCTTGTGCCCACTGCGAGTTCACGAAGAGTTGATCAAGTGATCGTGTGTGTTTGGCAGATTGACGTTGTCCGAATATGGGAATGTCGTTCCAACTTTATAATTATGCTGAATTTACGCTCTGGCTGTGTAGCCTGCCTGCCTGTCCGTCTGTCTGTCTGCCTGCGCAGCTCTCTGTCTCTTTTCTCTCTCTCGCTCCTCTCTCCCTCTCTCTTCTCTCTCTCTCTCTC